CCCCCCCCCCCCCCCCCCCCCCCCGCGACACACTGCTATGCGCGGCCGTAGTTTTCGTAAGTAGGAATTGGTACTGGTGTCACGTTTTGGCTGCATGTGGTTGCCGACCCATCGCCGAAGCCCTGTGAGGTGTGTTCGTGTTGTCAAGGGGAACATCATGCGTTTTGCTAGTCGGGTGTGGCAAAATCTGCCGGAAGCCAGGTCTAGTCCACGTTACGGCCAGCCGGACCGAGCATGTCTAACGGCTTCAGCTGGCATGCCCAGGTTTGTTTGTTCTGGCATGTGTAAAGGTAGAAAATGAGCCATCTGCTGAATGCAGCACTGGCTCCATCTTTTCGCATGTCGAAGGTGCATACTTCCTGCGAACACCTGTCCACGCTTTGCTCAGCGAGCGCCTCAAAAACAGCTCGGCATCCACAATGCTGCACCTAGGACCCAGCCCTGTGGTAGAGTTTGCTGTGCTGGATTCCTCTCACATCGGCAGATCTCGCAGCCAAGGCTTGGCCAACCCAGCCCCCAATCAGCAGACGGATTCGGAGGATGGAAGGTGGGGAACTGCTTCTGATACTAGCAGCTGATATGGGAGTTTCCGAAAATAAGNNTAAGGATCCTACTATTTAAGGGACTATATTAGGGTCCCCTATTTGCGGAAACCCCCATATAGCAAGGAGGAAGAGAGCGCTTTTCGGTGTCCAGGTCCGGGCCGGCCGCTCCAAGGCTGCTGGGAGTCCAACGCCGCAGCCTCGCAGGGAATTGACGGGGAATTCCTGGGGGGCTCACAAGGGGATCTGATAGGAAGTGCAGATCGCTTCCTTTGAGTGCAGAGATCTTTCAAAGAGGTGGCATTACGACATCTCTCCCCTCGGCCGCCGACATCGGCTGGTGAGTGTCTGAGCCGTCAGTTACAGTCGGCGACCCTTGGTTTTTCTTTATGGTCTTTTTCTGATTTTCGATCGCAGTGAGGGTGCGGTAGCCCTTTGAGCTCGAGGACGGGTTGAGGGTCAAAGGCTTCGGCTTGGATTGGCTGGGTCCGCAACATCGCTTCACTTGGCAGTCAAGTGCGAGACTCCAGTGCTTGGATCGCTTCAGGGACGAACCTGTTCAAGCGATCCCGACAAAGCTGGGAGCCTACACTGTGTCGACACAGTGACATGCATCAATGAGAGCGGCCTAGACCACCTGTGCTCATGTTAAAGCAGCTGATTTAACTATTTGCTTGCCAACTTCGTTGAGCCTGCGGCTGGCAGCGCGGTTACGTGTAGATGTGCCTTTGGCCGAAATGGTGGGCTCTTCCGGCGTGCACATCCTGGAGGACGGAACCGCTTGTAGAGGCGTAGATCCTGTCGCTCGATGTGCACCTCCATTGTGCCTACGCGGCTCCAGGAACAAGTTGACGAGACGTATGAACCAACGAGCCAGGACATGCTTCAACTGTGCAGGGCCGTGTGCACAGCCCAAGTCCCCACCTGGAAGCAGGAGCTTCGGGACTACGCAACTTGTCGATTTTATGCTGGAATGCAGAGGTCGGCGTAGGGAGTGGCAATCACTGCGAAGCAGGATCTGCTGTACTCTTCGGTTTTGTTTGGCAGGCGTAAGGCTGACGGACCTAATCCTCCGTGCCGATAGCATAATATCGCAGCGCCATGACCCTGTGATGCTGCGGAAGCAGAAGCTTTAAGGCAGAATGGCTGGGTATGGATCCCAAAGAAGACAGCGACCTCCTGTGGATAGCCCGTCGAGGGCTGAAGACCCCGTTGCCAAAGCCCTGGCGTCCGTTCGAGGTCGTGGCCCAAGAACTCTCCTGTGTCAAGCGTCAGGAAAATGTTGTGTGAGATGAGGCTGCAAGCGGGGACATCTTCTTTCACAACCCTGACACAGGTTCCCGGAGAGTCGTATATTATGGCAACATGCTACCGGGGGTTCGTTTGTCACATTGGTCAGGTGAAAGCCAATGGGACCATCCCTGTGACCATGAGCTGCGGCAGCTTTATGCGTCTGAGAAGGAAAAGAAAAAGTTTGATCCGGACGCCCCAGGAACGCCTTGCAAAGACCTGTCCGTCAGCTCAATTTACGAGGAGACTTCGCCCCAGAGGTCCTTGGACGAGTGCAATGAACAGACACCTTCTCCTCAGGTCAAGGTGCCCAGTGTTCGAGCTGAAAGTCATGGCTTGGCAGCTGCCAGCACGACCACAGCCCCTGCAGGTACCAGCATGCTTTGTGAAGGCATCAAGCAAGCACAGCTCATGCCGGAACGTCCATCCAAGCCTCCACCATCAAGGCTGAGGCCTCCGAGGCCAAAACCACTGCAGCTGGCTTGCGATGAGTCTACGTCATTCTGCCGCTCACCCGTGGCGAACAGTCCACAAACAAGGCCGTCAGGGTCAGCTCACCTGACTAGCCTTCCTGGCAGGGAACCAGCAGACAGAGAAAGGGTAAGTCCCGGTGATGTGCAGAGCCCACCCACTCCTCGACTCAGTGCCGTGCTTACTGCGGAGTTGTTCAATGGCGAGGACATGGACCAGATTAGCCTGTGGTCTCGATTGGAGGAGGGTGAGGAGACCCTGTGCCAACCACTCCCACAAACTCACGTGGAAAACTGCTCTGCCCGGAGTCTGAGCAGTGTCCACGAAGGAGACTCGCTTGAGATCTCCTCCTTGACAGCAGCGCTGGACAACTCAAATGCTGACAATGATAGTTTCAATCACTGCAGAAGTAGTTCGCCGCCGCCTCAGAAGCAGCAAGCTGCTGCTGCCTCACGTACTCCTCCGTGGCCACATGGATCACCTGGCGATGCCTCGACACATATGACCGAGCTGCGTCGGTTGCGCCAGGAAATTGAAAGCAACCATGTGGCCTCCGAGACTTGCGAAACTTCATCCCAGTCGCAGGGCCCAAAGCCAGAGGATTTCAAAGAGGATGCACAACATTCGCATGAGAAGCCAGTCCAGGATTCGACCACTCAAACCGATGAGACAACCACCGCAAGTGCTGGCGAAGGCGAGCACCTCTCGAAGACTGCGGACTCGCCGGGGGAGGAGCTGTCTCCGGCTCCAAACGACGAGAATTCTCCAGGCTCAGACAAGGGCATCCCGGAGACCTGCGATGTCTCGGTGCAAAAGTCCATGGCATATTTGGCTGCCGAGCTCAACGCATTGGCATGCAAGACTGTGCAACGATGCATGGTTCCAGACCATCCCCTTCCACTAAGAGACGTCACGAACGAGATGCAGGATCTGCCAGACATTGGGCTGAAGTCATCTGGAACTCCTCGATCTGCTGCAAACGTGGATCTAGCCAACATGCGCATGCAACTGGAGGTGCAAGAGCAGCAGCGTGCCACGGCGGAGCAGCAACTGGACGAGTGTTTGTCCACATACCGTATGGAGCAAGCCAAACACACTGCCACAAAAGCAGCTCTGCGAGAAAGCCAGCGTGAAGTGCTCCGGCTGCAGAGCCAGGTCCAATTCAAGGAGACAGAGACACAGCGCCTCGAGATGGAGTTGCAAAGGTGCCAGTCAGAGCTCGGCTGCGTCTTTGCACAGGCAAAGCAAGCACAAGTTCAGCTCAAGGCTCAGCAAGCGGAGCTGGCTCAGGTCAAGCTGAGACTGAGGTCCCAGAATTCCGAGAGGATCAGCCGAACACGACCCCTTCAAAGAGCAGGTGGCCCATCAGCGGCAGAGCAGGAGCCAAAGGTGTCAAGTGGATCGATCTCGCAGCTTACCCACGACCTCGCCGACAATGCCAACCTTGCTGATGTTGCCGAGTCGACTCTTCGACGTTGCCAATCTCTTGGCGGATCTTCAGGCTGACTGGAAACAGACCTCAATCAAATCCGTAGAATTGTGCCTACCTGACAAAAAAAGTGACACTGTGTGGTTCAGGTACCCGATTGGCATCGGAGGTTTCAGATGCATTGCGGAAGCGGCGAAGAGAGCTTCGAAGAGAACATGCGGAGTTGGAGCAGGAGATGCGTTTCAGGGTTTCCTTCCGTTTATTTTACCACTTGCGGAGTTCCAGGCTCTTTGGGAAGCCTGATCCTGCCTTCCAAGAGCACTCATAGGAGCGCCGCCAGTGGCGCCTCGATGCACGCAACTTGCGTCGAAGCCAAGCGGCCGACGCAGAAGCGACCTGCCTCAACCAGATGCTTATACCACATTGTAGGAGCTTCGCATGAGGCATGTCCGGGTGCACTGTGCTTCCGTTGGATGTATGCCGCCAGCATCCGAAAGCTTGTTGCCGTGAAGCTGCGCAAGAGGAGCTCTGTTTTGGAATCTGAGGCTGAAGACCTAGTAAGGACCGGATCTCGGCTTGGAAGTATGCTTCAGATTGTTCGCAACAGTTCTGGTTTATGGCTATGGGTCGTGTGCTTGCCAGTGGGTGCCGAGATGTGATGCTTGATCCGAGCCGTGTGTGGCAACTGTTTGGGTGAGACAGGACTGGTTCGTCCAGCTAAGTGCTTCAGACATTCGAACGTGTCGGTGCCCAGACATGGTAAATGGGGCAGCAGAAGTGGGAATAAACGGTAGCATGGAAGCGGCATGCGGACTATCCACGGAATCCTGGAGCTTATCATATGCCCGGCATCAATTCGTCGCACAATACGGCATGGGTGTGCGAAAGCAATTGAGACATGCCTCCCACCTAGCAGCACCATGCAGCACCTAGCATTGTTGAAAAGATCGAACGGACATCCGGAAATTCCGAAAGCTCATCCGCATTCACGAATATCAGGAATGCCTCAGCTGCTACGAACTGAGATATAAAGCTACCCCGTATGCGCATTTTTGCTACTAAAGCTTGTGAGGGCCAATGACCACCACGATCACAACTATTCCTCTGCTACTACCCCAGCTTCTGCAGCAGCAGCTGGCCGAATACTCTCCAAGAAGTAGTTTTTGCCTTCTGGGCGCACCTGTGGCTTAGACTTGGGCTTCTGGCATCAGGCTCAGGCCCCAGCAGAAAGGTTGAGGCCCCTCTCAAAGACTTACTACAAGATTGACCTGCCCGTGCCCATGCCAAATTGTGGCTACCTGTGAGACCTCCATTTACTTCCACAGGCAACATGAAAACACCCTTCGCAGTCAGAGACAACGGCACGGGAGGACGAGAATGAAACGACCCAATATAGGTGAAAGGTCAGCCGACGGGCCGAAGCATCGATGTCGTGTAGACAGTGTTAAGCGCACATCATTGTTGCTCGTCGCATCTCGTTACTGTCGTAGCACTGCAATGACGTGTGGTGTGGTGCTGTGGAGAGGGCGCGAGCAGCCTTGGATACCCGTGCGTCGGCACTCAACGAATCAATTTGCCTCTTGGCCGAAGTGACAGCTTCAGAGTCATGCAGGCATGAAGCCTCGATCATAATATGTTGATATTGTCTCGGCAGCTGCAACTTATGCGGGGTGGAGCCGCCGGATGCGGATGACCAGGAATCTACCAGCTTGACATAGGATGTGTTTTTGCTGCCTACGCGTGGCAGCGGTAGATATGTTGTGATATTTGTCGTGGTTGAGTTGACTGCCGAGGCGAGTACCGCGCTCTGCAGCGGGCATTGACCAGCGGCAGCCTTCATCAGGATCGTCCTTGAAGGAAGCTGTGGCGCAGTTGCGCATCTTTTGCATTGTCTCAGATCATCCTTGCAAAGCTAGGGCAGCTAGGTCCAGTCGATACGACACATAGAACGTATCCTCGATGAGAGATTCCATGCGGCGAGCGGGAAGGCATGCGGGGTGCGGCTAGTTTGTGATGCTGTTTTTGCTCGGATATGCTCGGGCCAGTCGCAAAGACTGGCACTGCCTGTACAGAGTCAGCGGCGCCATCCGAAGCTTTCCATTGTCCATGCGTCATTCGTATGCTTGCAACCAATTCAGCGTCAGCGTATCGTCAGTAATTCAATCGTCGCTGTGCGTCAGCGATTCGGACACGTGCAAGAGAGGGTTGAGCCGAACCACGGTCAGAAAGGAAGGGCTGCGCCTCTTTGGCCCACTGGTCAGCCTGGTATGGTAAGCACAAGCTTCAGTGTACGACTTTCAAGGCTCGGCGAGGTTCCCGAGAGCATGGCCGTCGTGCAGGGCATGAGAAGGCCCCTTGGCCCTTGGATCTCGAGAACACTGCACCATACTGCAGCTGCTGATGCTGCAGGCTTCACGGTCAGGCAATTCCGTCAGATCCCCAGGTTGTCGAGCTGCAACATGGCACGTACACAGTGAAATTGCTGCAGACCAGCATGAGTTACTCCAGGCCCGTGGGCACATGTCTCAATCCTTGTTTTTCTTTCTGCAGTGGAGCTGAGGCATCAAGAGGACGCAGTGACCAGACTTGTCTCCACCTGCCCCATTGAACCGGGCAGATATACCTTGGAGCACGGGCCTCGTCGACTTCTGGTTTTTTTAAGCGAAGCAGTGGCCAGTCTTGCGGGAAAGCCAAGAAAGACAGCTGTGTGCTTCAACTGTGACTGATAACCGATGTGATCCTACATATCCAAATCCAGCCCTGCAGGTCTGGAAAAAGCACGGGCTACTCCTACAAGAAGCTTCGGCCTCAAGACATACTGGATTAAATATCGCAGTTGCGGAGTGACTTCTGCAAACCAGACCCCACGAGGTTGGAAATGAAGCTGCACGTTGATGGCAAGTGTGTCTACAAAGAAGAATCCAAAAGCCGGCGCCTTTTCAAGCGTGTGTGGACTTCCTGCAGTTTGAAAGCATGTTCCCGGTCCTGAAGACGGTCAAGCAGCAAGGATTTGATTAAAGAGCAGGTCGGCCATTGGGCCATGAGAACGTACGCCGTACACTTCTGCCATGCCGCATCGCAAGGGATGGTATTGTTCTTCTTCGGTGTGACAGGGCGAGAGTCTTTCTTTGACATGCAGAAACAACCACGGCGACGACGACAACAACAACAACAACGCCAACAGCGACTACGACCACAACAACGACAGCAACCGCAACAACAACAACAACAACAACAACAGCAGCAGCAGCAACACCGCCACCACCACCACCACCACCACCACCACGGCCACCACCACCGCCACCACCACCACTTAAACCATCAGCAGGCCGAAAACGCGGCCACAAGATCAGGAGCAGAAAGCTGCAAGTTCCAATAGGATGGGGTGCCTATGAAGACAGGAGCGAAGCAAGTGGTCTCTGTGGCAACCGTCTCCCGATGCGAGCGCACGAGTAGAGCTGCGCTTGCAGGCAGTTTGCTCCGGGCGGTGTGGTGTCCTCGGCACATGCCGAGACCATGTGAGCATCATTGCATCCGAAGCCTCAAACCCTGTCAGTTTAAGGGTTGGGGTTCTTGCTGCGGTTTACGTTTGCATGAGCTGAAGAGCTGGAAGATATGGGACTGTGCAGAGATTCAGGCACACATTGAGCTTTGCAGGGTTGCTCCAGCCTTTTCGCTAAGCCCCATGCTCGGAGATTGCAGGATCTGTGTCAGCATACACTGCACCCTTTTTCCGGAGCTCGAGACTCCGGAGCCCACGCTAGCGGCCCCGTTTTTCTGGATGCATGCGGGGTGTAGTGTGGTCGGAAAAAGCGTTGAAAGCTCTCGTAACTGCTGAACCCTCGAATCCTCAAACCCTTCGAATCGGAGCCTGAAAATAGTCGATAGGGAGCGGAGTTGCACAGGCCGAACGCCACGGTTTGGAAAGTAGAGTCCGACCTGCTCGTGCTGGACTCTCTGAAACCGACAACGTACGAAGCTGAGTTCGCAAAGCGGTACGAAACTCGTTGGCTAGGATCGCGATTCGTGGCTGCAAGGCCTGGCTTTGTTCTGCGGGAATCGCGCGGCAACAAGAGCTTGGAGAGGCCTGGGCAAGTCGCAGATACAGCAAAACTTGCTGTGTTGTTGCAAAGTGTCCCTGCCATCCTCGCCTATGCGCTTGCTGGAGCCAGCGAGAGCACCTGCTCGTGCCTGCAGGAAGGTGTACCGCGTAGAGATGCCCGTCTCATTTGTTCGCGGAAGCGCCGTGCTTAGCGATGCCAGCAATGCTCGGGGTACATCCAGAGGGCTGCGAGCCCCATGCAGTGGGCTCCGGCCGGGACTCCTACCTTGTTGTGCTACGTCCACTGCTTGAGTTGTTCTGCTCCATGAGGCTGCAAGTTCACACCCTTCGAGCAGCAGAAGAGGCCACACATGTTCCGAAAGTCGGGAGGCTGCCAGACTACATTTTCTCGAAGGCCTTTCCTCGGGCATCAGCCGCACGACACCTCCACCCTCATCTTCGGCGTTGTGGATCCAGAGTCGCCACGATCCTATCCGAAGCGTTGTTTCAAACGCGGAACAAATGCAGATCAGTAGACAGCAATAGCTTCATGCTGCAATCGGTGGCAGCTGTCCTGTTTCATTTGGCTGCCGAGTCCGGCTTTGCGGGGCCTTCGCTGCCGACCTGATCGATTGTCGCGGGCTCATCTTCCAGTTGCTTTCCATGTGGACTCGCCCCCTTTGATCCCTCTAGCTTAGCTAGTTATTTGATGGTGCTGAGTTCACTCGCTTCAGCTGCAACACGCATAGGGTGATGCAGGAATGTGGCAGGTGTCACTGTGGCTCGAAGCAAAACACTGCAGAATTTGGTTGTTTGACCCAGGCCTTATCACGCTTTCGAGCGCGAGCTGCGGTCACAAGGCCTGCGACAAGCAGGCGGTGCACATCTGTTGCCAGCAGATAGCATGTTGCAGGACTCCCCGTGGACGAGATTCTGACTGATTTTCATTTTGTGGACCGAGATGCCGATGGTTTGGTGTCCGCCTTTGACTTAGAAGAAGCAGTGGCAGTCTTACCGAATCTGAGAGGATCCATGGCCACACGGCTGCGAAGCATGTTTGTTTGTCGTCGGGACACGTTCATGGTATGTCGATCGCGGTCTTAGTTCGTGCGCCATTCCTCAGATTCTGCATTCTGGTCAACGTGCTGTTGGTAGCTACCTTGGTCGTCGCAGTCGTTGCCGGGGTTGGTGTGTCAGCCCGTCTGCCGTCGGGTCCTGATCGTCAAAGCAAGTTTCCGGTCCGAGCATCAGTCATTGTTCTGGTTGATAAGTTCGGCTCAGCCTAGCGTCTGTATCTGTTGGTGTTTTGATCCGCGTGTCGGAAAGCCTGCCATGAACGTTGTTCTGCACGGCTTTGCGGTTGTAACATGATGAAATCAGTATGTCGGTCGATATCCGCTATCCGAACGATGTCCATATGTCACTCTGTGTGCCGGATTCGGAGTCCTCCAGGCATCTCGGGTGAGGTTTCTGGTCATGGGGCCATGGCACGCCCTGATGTCTTCGGGCGCAAACGGCAGAAGTTGATCGTCGCACCGTCCAGGAGTTCAGCTGGCCCTGGGCTGTTTTCAGAATGACGGCTGAGCACGGAGGGGTATAACACGAGAAGTCCATCTTCATGTCTGTGCATGCATCTGCTGCTTGGCGCCTTCCGCGTAGTTGCAAATGGGTTCCGTACGACACTTGCATCTTCCCGGTGAGGTCGAAGACATGCGCCGTTTGGAGACCTATGGCAGCCGCGGCCTTGGGATGGGAGTTGGATGTGCAGAAAATCGGCAGCACTGCTTTGGCACAAGTTCAGAAACAGAAGTCTCTGTTAAAAAAATGGGGGATCCGTCGCCCCAAGCCCTAAACCCTAAACCCTTCGCCTGGCTTGTCCGAGTTGTGAGAGTGTAAACCCTTCTCCGACCTACTCGGCGGCATAATGACCGTCGAGTAAGTGGGTTACAGAGAGCTTGTCGTTCATGCTTTGGACGATCGTGAATATGCCCCCCTGTCAACATGGCCCAGCATGTCCACGTAGCAATCTCGGACACTTATTGCCATGCCTGCTTTGCGAGTGTGTGAGTCGAAACCCATCTGCGCGCCTGGCTGTGCAAGCTGCAGACCCAGCCGCAGCTCCCGAAGTCCTGGAGGAGCTTCGTGAGGCCTCGGTGGGTGCAAAAAGTATGTGTTTTCCGAGTGCATCGAGTCCTTGAGCGCAAAAGGCACTGGTGAAGAACTTCGCAACTTTGGCGAATGCTTTCGAAGCACCTTGGCTACAACTCTTGTTCGCTGCCAAGAATTCGGACAGTCCTCGGCAGTTGGCTAATGGCTATATAATTTAGGCGAGGGTCCTCTCAATTCGGTTGAAACGAGGCGCTCATGGCGGACGCTTGCTTGGCTAGGTCCCATAGGTCCCCTAGCTTGTCTGAGCCGCTTCAAATTATCCAGAACCCTTTTTTCTTGACCGCACCCAAACGAGGTGCTGAGTGCCATGGCTGGTGCCGGACGCGTCTGGAGCTCAGCAGAGATCCTCGAAACGCGCCGGCACATCAGGCGCTCTGACATGTGGGTCTGGATGGGAAACAGCGGGTCTCTGGCCCGCCTTCGGCATGCTTCCGTTGTGGTAGGTCTGGTGCTTAAGGTTACGACGGCAGAGTTTCAGCGCTTCTTCGAGAAGATTGCAGAGGCAGAGTGTGCAGAAACCGGGACGGGCATTGAATGTATCCGGACATGCGGATAGCTTTAGATCGTATAGTCGGCGAGGGCTTTGAAGGAGGCATGAATGCGCGGACCTACATTTAGCTGCTTCACCTGGGTGCGGACTACGTCAAAACTAGATAGTATTGAAGAAGAAAGGCTAGTCTTGGCTTGCCTAATCTCTCTTCCTGATGCTCGATATCTGAATTGTCGCTCGAAGTCCAAATAGCAGCGAGCTGGGCTCGCGACGCATCTCAGCCATGTGTGCCGAAACATTGCTACATACACACATGAAGACACTTGATTTCCCGATGGATCAGCTCAAGTTTTGTTCCAAAAGCTGTATGGCGCCGTGTCCCAAAAGCTCGGCACAATGCTTATCCGGAAGATGTTGCAAGTACTCTGCTTGCCTATCGGCGAAGGCTAGCAACCAGGGAGAAGTGCACGAGCCTTGGTTTCGCGAGCGTGCTTCAGTCCGGATTTGAGGTTTCGAGACGTCTCTTTTGCTTGCAGGGGCACTGTTAGCCTGAAATATGTTGGGAGACGCCCAATACTCGCTTCCTTCTATAACAGTCTGAATTGATTCAGGACCGCACAGCAAATTCAGCCAGAAAGTTGTTTGTTACTGCTGTTCTGTTGCATCTGTAGCTCTTGCAGATGTTCTTCTCGCCGAGGCCTCGATTTGCTGGCCGGCCGTTGCTTGCGCAAGGCTGCGATGCTCCAGCTTGATGGTGATGTGTTGTGAGTAATCTGGCAGCCTTTGCCACCCGGAAACCCCCGCAGCATGGTCTTGGCATATCGTTGCAGCAACTGACAAACACCGTCATGTGTCGTTCTCTGCTCAGCAGATGCAGACCGTTGTGTGTTTCGGCTATAAAAACCTCCCGACGACAGCCTGCCCGCCTGATCATCGTTGCATCTCACTTAAAAATTTCCCATTTCCCGGTCCCTGATTGAAAAACTGCCGGCGAGATTCTGGCTGGCAGCAGCAGTGCAACTTGGACTCTTGATCCATCTTGATCCTTGGCTTCAACGGCCGCCAGCAATCAGCGATCACCAGAAAAAAAAAGAGCCAGAGCGCATCAGAAAACGATCGGAATCCAGCGTTCATGGGAAACTGCGCAGGGGAAGCCGATGATGACGTCCATGTCCATGCCCCATCGATGATATTAAGATAGATTCATGCAGAAAATGAAAACACCCAAGGTTTGTTTGGGAAGAAGAGCTTTGTGGATCACCTACATCCAAGACAGTGGGAGTTACAATACGCCGAGCAGAGGAGAAAAATCCGGGGAGTCCGGGCAGCGAGGGCTCCAGCTCCGTAAAACGACGACGCCCACATATTGTAAGTACATGTTGTGAACATGTTTTCGGATTTGTGGCACCTGCATCGCTTGGGCAGGTGAACGGAGCCAATCTTTGAAGGAGCCGCTGCCGCCTGTACGATGGCCCTTCCTCATTTTCTTGTTCCGGGGAGCAGAGGGGAACGCTACGTAGGTTATCTGGGCCACATTGTCCTCGACCTAAAGAACCATAGGGCTCCGGACTTAAGCCGATCCCCCCTCCAAGACGGGGGGACGCACCACTGAAGCCCAGGACCATCCTGTGAGGAAACAGTCGTGAGGTCAGTTCGGCATGAAATATTGCAGCAAGCTGAAGGTTTCGCTTGTTGGAAGGTGCTCCTGTAGCATGACCCGATTCATGCGCTTCGTTGGAGCATTTTATAGAAGCAGCAGGTTTCACTAAACCACGTTGCCACACGCCGTCCAATCCGTAGAATTCGCCTGCAAACAACGTGCATGGACCACTACGACTCGGCGCAGCAGAAAATTGCGCCGCGGATTCTGCACAGCCACAATGGAGGTCAGCAGCAAAACACACTGAAAGAATAAAAACCGGCAGCAGAAAGCCAAGCAATCCATGTCAGTTTGTCGAAGGCGACCTGTAGAATCAAGTTCACGAGTTGTAACGATACCTTGGCTTCAGCCAGATGCCTCGTTCAGATGTGAATTATGGTCAGGACTGGGTAGGCAACACTGACCCGGATGCTCGTGTCGGCATCTGAGAAAACACCAGACAATTCTGTGCCGAGTCTTTGTCGCTCAATGGCTGGCAAGGCCGCTGTCTTTGCCACGCTCTGCCCCGGAGACGGCGCACCCTTCAGCAGAAATGTCTCATGCGACAAGCTTCTCGTATTGGCATGCTGCATTGTGCAATAATGTTGCGCAGCATTCTGGCAGAGGCAGGCTTTCAGAGAACTTTTTGACAAGATCAGCACCCCAGACTCAGGTGAGGCAATAGAGCTGGCAGACTTCTTGAGCCAGATGCCCAATGATTGAACTCAACAAGCTGTAGTGTGTTCAGACGTGGGCTGGCTTGGAAGTGTCACTGTTAAGGCTTGAATTTACACACCGCCGTGCTTGCTCTGTGGTTGCCTCAGACTTTGCTAGATGCACTCAAGATTTGCATGGGCAGTCCCTCGATCCCTGGGCTTGAGCTGCACAAGGCGAAGATTGGAGCATTTCCAGCATTGGATCTTTGAGGGGCATGGCCCCCATGTCACGCAGCTATCAGGTTTGAATGGCTTTCGTCGTCAAACGCATGTGCTGCTGCAATGTTGTTTGAGATTAGCCCACGCTTGAAATTAAAGTCTCCCGCCGTTGAATAGACACGACACGCCTGTGAGTCTTCTCCTTGATCTCCTTGCATGTCATGCTGCGGAAGATGTTGAAGTGATGCCTACTTGGTTCATGGCCCCCAGCAAATGCCATTCGTCCGTCATCCTCCCATGATCTCCCATGCACCAGTCTGGTAAGCCCGTCGATGCTGAGGTTCGGCCGAAGCAGCGAGGCGAGTGCTTTCTGTTGCGCTGACATTTGCTGTGGGCACACCGCAGGAGTTAGGATCCAAAGATCTGGACCCAGAAAAACTACAAGTATGGCGAGGGCGAAAAGAGCTTGGATTCCGGGACGGTTTTGAGGTCCAGAGTCCTGACCCAAAGGAAGGCCTTGAGCAGTTAAATTTGCAACGGAACGCGGTGGGTGATGCTGGTTGGAAGGGCACCCGCAGACAGTCCAGCGAGCGGCTGCTCCAGAACGTCTGCGATGACATTTGCAACAGTAATTCCAAAATTCGGATCGTGGCCCACGAAGCGCAGAAATACATATTCCCACAGAGTAATTGAGACCCATTCCGGCATTAGTTTGTCCCTGTTTGTCCACTTTTCCAATTCCCGAGATGATCATTGCATCAGAAAGAAATGCCATGGGCTTCCCGTCACACCGGCATCCTGCCAGGTTTTCCGCAAAGTATTCAAGGCCTTGGGTCCACCTGAAGGGCCTTGCCGGCACGTTTGCCGACGGGCAGCCGCATGGCTTGTAGCGGCCACTGTGCTTGCTGATGTCGCATCTGGCAGCGCAGTCGGCTCGCTCGGTCTAGCAATTACTGTGGCCAGGAAAGGCTTGAGCCGCAAGGCATTTGCCGAAGGCACCAAAGCATTGGGATATCCTGGTGCGGATGGTCGCGTCATCCGGTCAGTGTCCGGACCTTTGCTCGAGCCAGTTTGGTGTTGGACTGGAAGCTGCCTTGGAGGATAATCAGCAGGCAGCGAGGCAACGGTAGAGGTAGAGATGTTTGCGACATTCAGCCGGGGCAATGCTGCGGGCGGTGTCTACCAGCTAGGTCAAATTCAGGCACCATTCCCAGGGGATCGCAATCTTGACTGCACGCTTGTCGACATGATGGTCGTTTTCACTTGATTCTTGTACTTGGGCCTCACGACCGGCCACTGCTGCTTCCTTGTGCCGGGCAATCGCGATCTTTCAACGAATCTGAGAGCTAAGGTTCTCGCTGCTGGATCGCAACTTTGATGGTGAGGTGGGCCTGGATCTTTATGTCTGAAGGCTTGTTTTAGCAGTTGGAGACTCTTCACGTCCGCATAAGGAGCCACCGGCTGTAGAATGATTCATGCTCATGCAACTCGCAGATCTCCGCCCGCGAATTCCTGAAGCTCCTGGAGTTTCGTGGCGAGGATGTCTTGCGGAACTTGGAGGCGCTTCCTGCTTTGCTTGCTCTTCACCTTTAGGGACCTGCTGGTAGCGGCATTTTGTACGCTGTGCGCGAGGCCTTGAAGCGCTTTGTGGACACGATGCTTGGTGGCTTCCTGCTGAGATTGCTCCATCGTTGGAGAGATACTTGAGGGTGCTGGGTGCCAAGGTATCGATGCATGTTTTGCGAAATTTGTGGAGCGCGAACCGGGGCCCAGCTTCCATCAACAGTTCAGACCTGGCGTCCACACTTTTCCACCAGCCTTTTCCTTCTTCAGCGACTGAGGAGCGTGCTCTGCAGGGTTTGCCTGCCTCGTGGCGTTCTCGGTGGAGCTTTTGCATCGATGGAATGCCCAGACGGATCTGTGCCACGAGGCCGAAAACTGCCAGCTATGAAGCCTTCCAGAGGACCTGTGTGCAGGCGCAGAATGCGGAGTGGTATAAACATGCATAGCCCACTCGAGCGTCACCAGGCTGGGTTCAGCAAGGTCGCGCCCAAGGCTTGCCGCGTCATTTCCCATTTCAGAACCAGTGTCCCTCTTGGGCGGCAATGCTATTGCGAGTCGCATGCAGTTCTTTCATGGAGGGAGAAATACAGAAAACTAGCAGCAACAGAAGCGCGAGACTGCTATTCGAGTTCTCTTGGGAAGTTTCCAGCTGCAGAGGCAGACCTGAAGATGCTGTTTCTATTCCTGCATGAGATGCCCGGGCGGCAAGCTGGATGCTCATGTTTGGTGGTACGGTCATGCTGGCATGCAGCAGCTGAGATATATACAGAAACTCTTGAGGCAACAGGCTACTTGAGCTTCAGCGAGTGGTCGCTGCTCAAGGGGCAGGGGCCCTCAGCTGCTGAGGAATACCTGTTGGCTGCCTGGCAAAGTGCTCGCGGCAAGGGTGTTCCACCAATGGACCTTGAGGTTCCAGTCCAAAGCCATTGCCGGCAGCGATGGCCTCAGAAACAACTTCAAAGGCAGGCTTCGAACCCTCATAGTGCATGACAAGATGACCGGCCACCAATATTTCAATCTGTGAGTGCGACAACGGATGGCCTGTGTCTTTGTTCACCCAGGCTCTCTGTGAAGGGGGTTGCATGCGTGCACATGCGAAGCACTGGCCGAAGCAGCATGCAAGCGTGCGAGCTGCAACAGCACTCGCCACACTGGCATGCCTGGCATACTACCACCAATGGCGTCTGTGCACTCCCCCACACCCACCCAGCCTGGTGGAAGCTGTGCATCTCGAAATGCGGAGTCGTCGGGGTTGCTGAAGGTGAGTGGTGGCGGTTGTTGGTGCAGGAGGCATGTTCGCCTAGGCAGAGAGCACCCTCATCATTGAGTGTGGCGTTTAGCCTCCAGCGACTTTCAGCATCGGAGTAACAGGTCAAATGGTGAACCGATAGCGTTTCTCCGACCAAAATAGGAAGGCAACACGACGAGGGTTCAGGGCCCTTCTGCCCGGGTCACATCGATGGCAACGGTGAATTCAACAACTAGACCGCTGATGCTTCTGGGAAACCTTTCAACTGTATGTTTCATTTGGCTTGCTGAGAGAAAGGTTTCGCAGGGAATCGGTTTGCACACCATGCAAGCCCCGATGATCGCTACTGCCATCCGGGACGCCTCCTTCTCGAGCTCTGCCTCAGAGCCGATCTTAGCCAGAACAATCACCCAGGAGCTTCCATCGTCAAGAAAGTGGTAACAGAAGGCAGATCGATAATTTGTTGCCGCTGCTCTGAAGTTGGTCAGTCAAGCTTCACAAAACTATGCCCAGACCCGGGATTGGTTTCTGTAAGGATCTCTGCAATCAGGGATTGGTGGGCCCGGGTCAGGCGGGCAGATCGCAGTGTCGAGGCTACTGGTTGCGGTCTGTTCCTGCTTTTGCTCGGTTTCAGGGTGCTGGCCCCAAAGGAGTCGACAAGTCCAACAGACTACGTGGGTCAGTGACAGTCAGCCAAATGGGCCGTTCATCCAAAATCGACTCGAACAACATCGCATGCCGACTAATTTGCAATTGTAACGGAAAAGCTGCATCGACTTCCTACGCCACAATGACATCCACCCCAGAATGTGGGCTCCGCGATCAACATTCCGTGTCTCCTCCTATGATGCGGCCAGATTTTTGCATTGTATTCTTGAAGCCGGCACGCGACCGCAGACGTGGCTTCTGATCGTTTTGAAACAAAGGCCTCATACCCTTTCTAGTGGTTTTAATTCATTAGTGAGCGGCAGGCGGTGCCGAAACCCATCCTACTTGAGAATACCTCGAATTTATCTCAGAACGAAGACTGCATGTCAATGGCCTGAGAATATATGATGTTCTTGGAACTTGCATGCATGGTTGGTGTGTTTGGACACTGACCTTCTGGAACCCTGAGAATGCGACTGCGTGTCGCATGTTTGAGAGAATGGTAGATCTACTGGCTGCACGAGGTATTTGTCGGCGGAGTGTGGGATGATCGGAGCACGGCAGACCCCTTCCTCTCTGAAAACATATTCTGGTTGGTCTATTGATGGGCCATGTCAGCCATGTTGTGCGCTTTCCTGTTTGATGTGGGTGTGAATGCAAGCATGGGTCGATATGGCGTTTGGTAACAGTTCTCTTGTAGTGCATTTTGAAACAGTTGGTCGCGAGTGAGTGGCTGCCTGACTGGAGTCGTTGGTACGGACGGATCCCTGTCGTGAACTTAGTTGCAAAATTTGTTATGTGGAGTGGGCTTGGTGGAAATGGGTGAAAGGCTGCCGCTTCTGCAACACGACCTGTTTGCAATGATTGGGTCGGCTGCCGCACTTAAAGACTTAAGAGGTGTATTTGTGGTTGGCTCTCACTTTCCCCCTGACAAGCCGCCCCATATGCGGCGCAGCGTACGTCCTCGCTGTCCGCAAGCATAAATTTCAAACCCCCAGCCCCAAGCAGCCACGAGCCCTCCCGGTGCTGAAAGTGTCATGCGCAACACCGCCCACAACCTGCCCGAATCCTGGGCGTCTTCGAAAACCCTGAGATTAAAGAACGAACGCCCAGACAGGACCCGGGATGCCGATAGTTACAGCTATATTGCGGCCATATCCACCCGGGTCCGGAAAATTGTTCCTTTCTACACAAGTCGGCAGGAGATCGAAGAATGTTCCCGAAAAGCTTCAGCTGTGCTTTGTGGATGTGGTTTGTGAGGGGGCAGTGCTCTTGACCCACGCTTGAGGTGAAACTGCTTCACGGCTGTTTTTCCGGCTGACGTCAGAAACCTTCAAGAAATTCAAGGAATGGATGGATCGAAGGACATGCCATTGGCGCATTTGTGTCGAAAGTCATTTGCTGCTGAACTTCACCAGACAGCAGGGCGTGGGTGCGAGGGATCATTGTAGCCAGCAGGCTGTACTTGCAGGCTGGTAGGCTGGCTCCCGCCGAGAAGCGGCAAGGTATTTGGTAAGTGCGACGGGTCAGCTCAGACCAGGTGGTCAGGTTAATCAACAGCACCCCACCCCAGCGGCACGGGCATAAAGCCGTTGCTAAGGTCCCGCACGTTGCAGCCTCAGCCCGTCATTGTACTGCTGCCCAGGACATTCGAAGCAAAGTTAAGCAAGGTCTCCGACGCATCATCGAGGAGGTATATGGAAATGTTGATGAAGCTTTCCAGCCGCGGACCTGGTGCCATGTGTACACAGACTAGGCCTCAGTCCACTGCGTACTGGAAGCCGACCTATGACAACGGAGCCCGAAGCAAGAAAGCTGACCTATGAGCACACACTGCCGCTCAGGCGCATGCACACAGCTTGGTTGCGAAGGGCTTTGGCCAAAGGCAGATTGCAACAGTCGCTATAGTCGCTGCATTTCAGAATACTTTCACAACTCCACATCTATGAGTCCGAGTCGAGCAGACTTTCGGATGACCTCCCATCTTGTCGGGCAGGATTGAAACAGACCGCCCTGGCTGGACTCATGCATTGCGTTCTTACGCCGAAGCCGAGCCTGGAGCGAGCGCAAAGAGCCTCAGGAGAAGTGCACGATCGATTCAAGTGCCGTGCAGTCGCAGATGGCTGCTTAAGGCCGAGCAGAGCTGCAGGCAGCTCCTTCCTGGCCGACAGCACGCGTCCCGGCTCTCGCATGAATAACTGCAGATGACTGCAGGTTGCAGGTCTCTTTCTCTGTCTACACTATGGTCACGAATGTGATTCTCCTTTGTGGCAGGCGGGCTTTCGGCCCAAAGAGTTGCCGGTGGCTGAGCACGTCCTGACAAGCAGCTCAAAGACAAGCTGTTGCGAGTTTCAAAGACAGCGACATCGCGCAGGGAAAACCTCCTCTTCCGATCGGCTCGGAGAGGCTCCTAACACTGATTGGCACGATGTGGATTCCCTGATGCATAGAAAGCTAGTCCGGACACAAGATAAAGATGCCATTCGATCAGAGCCGAAAATTTCGAAGATCCTGAACAAGGCCAAGATGCTAAGAGCCACCCCAATTCGGTGGCAGATCGTCTGGAATGCGCTGCTGCATGAACCACTTCTGCTGGGACACTTCCTGAGGCAGCCAAAACATAGGACATCCGCAGTCACCGCCCCGCCCAGACAAGTCACGGGGGTCAAAGTTTAAGGGTTATGTATGGCATTAGGGACGCCAAGGCCCGCAGATCAAATCATGAGTTGTGCCCAACGCTTGCCAGGATTCGTGCACGGCGCATCCTCAGGAACGGCAGTGAGAAGGACTGTCGTTGGTTTTGCTTGCTTCAGTTTTGCTTTTTATTCTTGCCATAGTTGCAACAACAACCTTGCGCATGGCATGATCTGTGAAGGCTTCAGGAAGAAGTTACAGTGTAGGACCACCGCAAACGCATCCATTGTGTCCGAGAGCTGCGGAAGGCCTCGAGGGAAGCATCTCCGGGCCGCACCACACCACCGCCGTCCTTGACTCCACTTCCGCCAGATCTGTCCCCGGGGTGCTGGCCTTAAACCGACTCAGTCCACTCAACTTCGAAGCCTGCTTTAGCTTTTCAAGCAGTGAATAGCGGCATTCATAACATACTTGCACCGATTCAGAAACTAGTTCGTCCGGTTGAACAAGCTCCTGCGATTCAGAAACTGTGGCTCAGGGACCATTGCCCGCGATTCAGCACGTACTCTGCACCGATTCAAAATTTATTTGCCGATTCAGAAACTCTTCGTCTCGATTCTGAAATTACTCGCCTGACTCATAAAATGCGCTCGGTTCAGACACAGACACAGCAACTGTTTCCGAAGTGCCGAAGCGGGACGAGGATGGCAGAGGGAGGGACAAAGATGGCAGTGAATTTTACTTCAATCCCAACTTCGCCCCTCGACAAAGAGAGGACGGACAAAGATGGCATAGATAGATATCAGAATCCCCCATCTCGCCTCGCGAAAACCTGAGCAGAGACGGTGGTCCTAGGGTCCTAGGGACACTTGTAGGTATTGAAAATCAGCGCCTCTTGCCTCACGAACAACAAAAAGGAGAGCAGTGACAGGGGTTCAAAACCTCCCCTTGCCTTGCGAAAAGAATGAGGTGATATTTCATCATCCTATCTTAATCTAGCTTTGTGGAAACCAGACGAGAGACAGATGGCAGTGATGGAGTGATGGATATTAGTTTCTCACCCGCTCGCCTCGTCAAAGACAGAGAGAGACGTAGCCCGTCTCAGTGGCGGTTGATCCATATCTTAACCTCGCCCCCTCATTGGGGGAAAGCAGTTGATCCCATACCTTAAACCAACCATCTCCGCCCCGCAGCACCCTTACAAGGCCATGGCCTGTGATGCCACATCTCGAACCCGACGCCTCATTGGCCAACGGCGGTTGCGGCGAATCTGATCCCATTTGCAAAAGTACTGCCCCCCTCATCAGGCGATGGCAGTTGATCCATGAGGGCAGTTGCGTGTTTAGAACCCACACGCGAATTAGTTATGCGATTGTGGTTGATGCCATTTCTTGGACCCATAAATAGAAAAACTAAAAACCCGGCCCCTCATTAATCATTAGCCAATGGCAGGTGGGAAAATTAGCCAATGGCGATCCCATATCTAAAGCCCGACTCATCATTCTGCCATGCTGGCTGGTCCCGACCCGGCTCCGCTGACTCCTCACTGGGCGAATGATCCCATACTGCATCTGACATATGAGCAAAGTGACGATTTCAAGGCCCCGCTCCCTCAGAGAGCATCATAAAACGACGGCGGTTGATCCCACATTTTCAACCTGCCCCCTCGTTGGGCGATAGCAGTTGCAGACGACCCGATGTCATTTTGGGAAAGCCGACCCTTCATCAACGAATAAAAGTCGATCCCGTATATTGAAACCGCCACCCACCTTGGGCCAAGGCGGTTGATCCCAAAATGTGGATCCACCGTATTGTAAAGTCCGCAATGAGATTCCACAAATTTGCAAATGGTTCGAGGCGTTGCAGAAAAGAAGTCTCTGCCTCAGGAACAATCCCACGCAGACCCCACACACACACACACACATTCGGGGCAATATCCTTGACTGGCAGCCTTTCTAGCTGCTAGCTTTTTAAATCAGGGTGCTGCCATCCCTGGCATCCTCGTCCTTGACAGTCTGATTCGATGAGTTTTGCACTTGGCAGCTGTCTAACATCTTTCTGTATTCTGCGCTTGTAAATCCCCAATCTGCGCTTTTGGCATCCGAATCCTGGTTTCCGATCTGTGCTCCTCGCTTTCCGAATTCGCATATCCTTTCGATTCCTTAGTTTGCGAATCCGGGAATCTGGTTTGTTAGTTTCCGAATCCGCGCTTGCAACCTGTTTTGCGCCACCATGAGGGAGTGAAGGTGCAGCGTGGCCAGTGCCGAGGATCCCTGCAGGCCGCCCTGCGAGTGCCTCCATGCTCGCGCCGGTGCGGCACAAGCCTGTAGGCCAGGGAACTGAACCCCAAGGCTATCAAACACATATGCAAGTTCGTCTCACTCTGGCTGTGGCGATCAAGCAGCCGTGCACATTCTGAGTTGATGTTAGCCAACTCGCAGGCTTGCTTCCGCGGAAAGCCCTGCTGCCACCTGCAAGGTTTCGGCCTCACCAGCACATGCAATGGGCATAGCCGGTAGCAGAGTCTCCACTTTCCACTGGTCGAATCCTGCGACTGCTACCGTAGTAGTAGCAAGTAGCAGTTTGCAGTAGTTGGTAATTCTCAGCTATATAAAGCAACTTGGCTTTGGTTGTAAGTAAGTATTTCAGTAAGGAGTAAGTAAGGAAGCAGGCAGACAGGCAGGTAGGTAGGTCGTGTGTACCTTGTGAAGCAAAGCACAACAAAGCACAGCAAAGCAAAGCAAGTATGCAGATAAGTAAGGAAGTAAGTAAACACTTCAAGGACGTGAAGGCTTCCCCAGCCTTAAACCGAGCGCGAGGGGGACCAAGGACTCAGCCCAGGGACAAGTGCTGCAAGGCCGAGGCGGACAACTGGACCCAGGATGAGCACGAGCACCCGGAGAACACCTACTGCATCCAACTACAACACAGACGGAGGACAGAGCGAAGCCCGCCAACACGCAAGGAAAGGAAACGACCCAGAGCGTCGTCTCCAACCTCGTCATCGTCCTCGCGAACGCGTGGACAGCGAGAAGCAAAACCAGGCGAGGCGCGAGGACCCGCAGACCACGAGGGGACCATGGAGCACAGCAGAAAGTACAACCAAAGATCGGCTTGCCTCCATTACGTACCCTGAAGAAGAGCAAACCAACACCCTGCAACGCCGACTTCGTCGATGCTAGGTAGGCGTCAGTAAGTAAGTAAGTAAGTAAGTAAGTAAGTAAGTAAGTAAGTAAGCGAGCAACCCAGTATTTCAACAACTCAGTAAGCAAGCAAGCAAGCAAGCACTGGTAGTTGTAGGGTGCACTAATCCGGAGGGTGTTCTTCACAGTGGGGTTGCGGGTTTAGTGTTAGGGGAAAGCGATTGGTTGTTCGGCTGATCACTGCCTCAAGTGTCTTGCGCTGTGAATATGTCTCATTAGGCAAGCCCAGATTTCGGCAGTGGAGCGGAATACCATCCAGGCACTGTGGTCGGCATGTGCAAGCATTCGTTTATTGATTGTTTGCATTGTTGACTTTGCAACTGTATTCTGTCCTTTGTATGTTCGCTACGATATGCACTGTGATGAGAATCGTGGCTGCGCCTCAGTGGGAGAATGCGGAGCGCGCTTGCAGGGGAACGAATGCGGGGCGTCAAATTTGGCAGTGAGATAGTGCCAGTTTCACCCAGGTGTATAGGCGCCTCATGTAGTCAGTCCACTCAGCGTCTTCTGTGCCCTGTGTAGTCGGTTCATGGCTGAGCCATGTCGAGCTGACATCCGGGCACCGTTAAAGCGAGCGAGCCCAACATGCTAGTAAAATGTCGGCCGTTTGCGCGCTTGTTCTCCACGTGTTCACTGCACAAGCTTCTGGAAGTGATGCCGATTGTGCTGGTTGCACCAAAGTCTACACTGCTTGCCTCCACGGCTCGTTGCACAAAAGGGAAAGCGCCGGTCGCGATGGCACTGCTACCACCAGAGGCAGCACCCTGGCACGCAAAATTTGCCTAACAAGGTTGCCGGCTCTTTGCATCTATTTTTATTTTCTTGCGGTGCGGTGAGATGTGATGAGTCTTGATCTACAGAGGTGGTCTAATTAGCAGTGAGATAAAGGGTTCATGAGATTTTTTGTGGTAAGCAACGGGATGACATGCAACCTTCAAGATCGCAAGTGCAGCCAAGAGCGCAACATTCCAGACTTAGAAATTCGAGCTGTGCTCGTCGAGAGAATAGAAATCCCTAGACTATTGAATAAGCACACCATGTCGTGGCGAAATTGGGCTTGAGCCTGTTAGAGTCTCAAGCGTTGTTGTCAGTACAGACTCCCTGGCTCTACTCCGACAAAAGATGGCGACAACGTTGAATTTCTTTGCGCGAGGCCTGGGGAGCACATGGCTGACCCAGCTTCTGATGGCTGGCCTGCGGGCAAGGCAGGGGTCGGGCACTGCGCAGTTCGCTCTATCCAGGATCCTAGACGGCGTAAGTTAACCGTTCCTCGCCGGCCAGCTTGCAGGTCTTCGAAGCTGCACCACAAGGTTCGAGGGCTTACTATAACTACCGAAACTAGCACTTCCTGTGTCAGTGGGAGAGCCAGACAGACGGAGACCGACAGCGTGGCTGTGCTTTCGAAAGCCTACACATGCCGTCCTCGCAATCTCAGTCAGGTTTCACGTATGATGACTTGGTGTTCATGCCCCAGCCCTCCTCGTTTGAAGCCTCCGATGTTGACTTGTCCAGCTACATCACAAAGAACATCAGGCGCGATTCTGAGCTCGACCACACCTACTCACACGTCCAAACTTGAGCTGTCACGATCAGGTTGAAGTCGCTCGCGCCACAGTTCCCAACTGCCATTGTATTGAGCGGTGGCTGATCCAGAGCCCGTAGACTCTTTGATGTTCATGTCCTCTCGACTGTCGACCGGACTAAGGCCGATAATTGGCAGCCCTTCCGACACCGTTACAGATTCCAACATGGCCATCGCTTTGGCCCTCTCTGGGGCCATGGGCATCATTCATGCAAATCAGGACATCCAGCGACAGGCGGCTCGATGTTGTTCCTAGTTCCCAAGCGTCGCGGTAGGACTATGAGAACGTTCAGAGTGGAGGGATTTGATTAGGTGGCCCGACACAGTCCCACCGGCTGTTTCCATGTTTCGCGATCGATATCTAGACTAATCTTTCCACAGTCATACGCCGGCCGACTCACGATGTTTGCAAAACTCAATACTGGGGTGCTCCCGGCTTGATGGATGCAGTGGCGTGCGTATTTTGGTGTGGATGCGAAAGTCCCGAGCTCAAAAGTTCGAGTCATTTCTGCTCTGAAAGCACTTGAAGTGCTGAACGTCCTAGCCGGGCCATGCTCTTGGCTCTTTTTATGTAAGGGGACTCGGAATTTGGCGGAATTCACGCTGTCACCAAAGTCCCGCGCGTGCTCCCACGTTTTTGCCGCGACTCGTGTTTGTGCCCGCGAGCATCGCCCTGCCGCCGCACTTCTGCACACATTTTTGGGGGTGGGACATGGTGTCCATGGTGGGGTTGTGCTTGCCCGTCCTGCCACGCTGCGGCGCGTAGAACCCCAGTCATGGCCGCACTCTGGTGCGAATTTTGGATTTTTTTGGACTCATGGGGTGGTCTTGGGAGCCTCAGGGGTGCTTGGAGGGTTCTTGGGTAGGGCATGGACTGCTAGGTGCTCTTTCATTGCATCCTAACGAAAGACTTGAGCAAGAGTTGTGCTAAAAGCAACACCTGCTGTTCAACGCCTCGAGCAGGTTTCCATGGTACAAGCTGTCAAGCGGTTCGTGAGCGGATTTGTTCTGGAACCTGTGGTCATGCGGCCTACGCAAACTCTGGCGGAATTGGATAAGCTGAAAGCAGCTACTGGAATCACTACTGCGTCTTGGCTAAAACACGCTGCAGGGGCTGCTCCTGCAATTCGATATGCAACCCGGATTGAAGAGTATACAAGTTTGAGGCCACCATGTGATACTTGGCAAGAGAATGTCTTTTGGGGTACAAGGTGCCGATAACAGACACCGGCGGGCTGGGTGGTGAGCTTCTGGGCATCGCGACTTGGTCCAAGGAACTTTGCGTGCTTGGAGTGCTCCTTGGGCCTTCAAGCCTGCCGCACCCCCCCCCCCACAGCCCTGCACGGATACATACCGAAACCCAAGTCCAGGCTGTTTGCTGGTTGCCCGTGTCCACCTGCACAAACAGGGAAGCCGGACGACAGAAATGGCCAAATGCCTTGTCCACCATGAAAACGCTAGCATGTAACTTGTATCCTTCACTTGGGCAACAGGCATGGAAGGGCATGGCGTCTTCATTGATCGCCTCGGCAGCAATGTCGCGTGTAGGAGGCCCACGAACAGCAGCTACTTCCCTAGCGGCCCTAGCATCCCAAACCCGGCAACAAAGACACTCCGTTGAGTGTTTATTTTGTTTGACAGTTCTTCCTTAATTTCGCCGAATTGGCCGCTTCTGTCCTATTAGATGGCTCCGGCCTACCGAGGTGACTGCGCGAGATGCAGATCTTTGCGCAGATCGCCGCGAGTATTTGTCAAGATTCTAAGCTTAACCGAATAAGTGGGAATGAAATTGCTGTGTTGGTTCTGTGTCAACTATGTGTCGCTTCTCAAAAACTGGACTTGAGAAAGCCTGGCGTCGTGGCGGGGTGGTGGTCCCGCTATGGCTCCTGCCAAAAAGCCAAGGAGTGATGACGGAAAGAGTTGTCACTGCAAGAGAGCCTCTTTCTTTTGAAGAAGCGCTCGACACGCTGAAGCGCGCGAAGGACCCGATTTTCCATGCTTCATCATGCATGGTTTTCCTCAGTCTAGACTACGAGACTCTTTTGCAACTGGTGTGTGTATGGCGCATTGCGACCTCGATGTTGAGCGGCAGGTTGGAAAGTTATTGATCTTGAACTCCGACGATCAGCTGGTGTCGATGGTGACACGCAGTGATCTCAAGAAGGTCAGGGACTTTCCAGGCCGGAGCCCTGCACAAGCTTGCGAAGCTCCGCTGGCAGACTAATCACGTAATCGAAACCGTCCAAATCGAGATTCTTCCTAAACAGCCCGACCCTCAACATATGAGAATCGCCACGGTTTGAACAGCTGCCCCTGGTCCAGACATGTCGCGAGACTTGAGCGGCAAGCTCCTGGTCGGTGCTGCAGTGCCAGCCTTGCCCGATGGCTCCCAGGACTTTGATTCTGTACGCATGTGCCTCAAAGCCGCGACCAGAGGGCGACCAGACCCGAGCGCCTGACAAGACATGCCTTTGCTTCAGTTCTAGGACTGGCCTCGAGCAAGCGCTTTGGCAGAGGCTCGTAGGATGTCAGTGGGCTTGAGCGTCGAGATTTTGCAGCAGCAAGAGCAGGTCATTTGAGTCAGCAGGGCCTAGGAGCAAAACGAACACAAGCAAGAACGACTATGTGCAGCATGCGGGCATTTTGCAAGTCGATTCGCCCTGTTGTCTTCCCAGCAGTGAATGCTCTACTCCTGGTTCTCTTGGACTTACCGGTGTGAGCAGGCGCAGTCATGTAGGGCTTGCAGTGATGCGTCTGCAGCCCAGCTCGGGCACGTTGACTACTCCACACCACACTCGTCGGTGCGGTCACTCACGTACCTTTTCTGTCCGTCACATACTCGAGGTACCATGGATGCAGATAAGACGGAAAGTAGAAACATAAATAATCGAAATTCGGTTTGGTGGGTGTTATGTGGGTGTTGCATCAACAGGGAGCCAGCGAAAAATCGCATTCAAGATCTGCCTCAGTCGAAGCACTTCAGTGTAGAGTTGCCTGTAGCAGCACTCCTGGCTGAAGGCTTTGCTTCTGGGAATGTTGTAGGCTTTCGCATGAGCATGGGATGCGTGGGGCAGAGTGGGAGCAGCGGTCCCGGTTGCCGTCTCTGACCACAGGTTGAAACACGTTGCACTTAGTGTTGTGCAAGTCTGCAACAATCACTTCCGCAAGTGGTTGAGGTACCGGAACCTGTGCAGGAATCACACATGCGCTCCAAAGCAACACCGATTATCCTCGGTGCTTGCCTGGAAGTGTCCCATTACATGTCTCACTTACCAGAAATGGTACCGGTCCACTTGCTTCCGTATCAGACTTTCACCGGAGAGACGCCGCGATGAAAGGGATGCAGACCATGTTGCTGTGTAACATAGGCTGGTGCAAATGTCCTCTACCTCTTTGGCGATGGTGTGGATGAGCAACTTGCACTGCCCAGCTCTTAGCAACCTGTGGCCATGCATCGTGAAATCGAGCACACTTGCCTTTCACGTCGCCTCGACGGATGGTGTGAAAGATCTTCGTTGTGGGAATCTCAGGATTAGACGGCTGAAGATCGATTACCCTTCTGTGGATGTCCTCGCCGGACCAGCAACTTCAGTGCGAGAAGCAAGGAGATTGGTGGAGGAGAGCTTGGCTTCGAGACTTTTTTTTAGCGGCTGCTTACGAAGTTGCATGCGCTGTGCCAAGCAAAATGCAGATGCATCGGGTAGTCAGGCAGGAGCCGATGGCATCGTTGCAGGCTCGGGCAACGACGCAGGAGCTGTAAAGTTTTGCCAGAAGAAGTTGATCGAAGCTGTGATATATGGTCAGTCGAGCATAGTCGACCCTTTACCTTTGATGTGTGTTTACAAAACTTGGTCGTGACAAATGAGCGCCCGTGCGCGGCACTTGGGCCTCGGCTGGCGCAGGAGCTGATCCAATGGCTGCACCTCTTGCAGTTGCAGTCGGACGAGGCAGTAAGCATCGCCACACCACTTCCGTACTTCGCGCCAGCAGGATGTCTTGCACGCCCGAGTTCACAAAGGATGTACGCAGGGATACGCAGGGAATGTCTTGCTTCACAACTTGGCGTGCCAGCCAGGCGAAGCCATTATGGTGTATGAGGTCGCTTACTACGTGACGCGAGGCTTAGCCGCACCTCAGTCTTCCAAGTTCCTGAGCGTAGAGGCATCAGCAAATCTGGGAAGAAGTGGTGCTTCAGGCAACTACAAGCTCCCCGTTGCAGCTGCTGGTGTTCGCAGTACATCACAGGCATCCAGACTCTCTTCCAGATGTTCCGTTTTTTCTCATCTTTGCTGGCCCCGTCCGGAAAACGTGAACCAATGCCGTACAGCACCACAACACCATATGTCTATGTTGAGTGCTTTGCATGTTTGCAGAAGCTTGTGGCACTCGAAGAAGCACCGAAGGCGCTGGTGGCCATGGGTCTTGGTGCGTCTGCCGCGGCTTGACAGGAAGAGTTGTATGGCGACAGCGGTCCTTCGACTTGTGCAGCCCATGCACTTGCTAGGTTTGGAGGCATGTCAGAGCAGACTGCCGAATTGCCATAAACATGTCTATGTTTCAGGTCGTGCTGCGAGAGCCATTGGCAGGCACTGACGAAGCCCCAGGAGGCAATAAGGCCCGATCCGACGGGTCGAGGTGAGCAGCAAAACTCCTTTTCGACTTGAGCTCATTATTAACAGGCCACTCCAACACAATCAGATCACAATCACAAACGTGGTGTTGATACTGACACTTGCCCTACAGCGGACAGCCGGACGTGCACCGTTACTTCCTACTCAGATATGCTCAAGTGAATGGAGTGTAATACGCAGCGAAGCCACTCATGCCCATCGCCGTTGAAGTTTCTCTCGTTCTGGCTTGGCTGGACTTCAGTTTTATACCATGGTCATCCCGGGCCTTCTCTTTTGATAGAAATGTCGAGCACCCCGCGACTGCTACCTGGCTTTAGCTTTTGCTACACGTGTCTTACCATGGCTATCTACATTGCTGACGCACAAAGTAGAAAAGACGTTTTGCAATGCCATTATGTTGGGCCAGGCATCGATGCCGCTGCATCACGCAAACAGCTTAGTGCCCTCCTCGATGCCTTTCAGATGCCCATAGGATCTAAGAGTTAATTTTGATGTCATCAGACTGGCTACAGCCTCGGCTCTTGGTTGCACAGCGAGGGGCCAACTGGTGCTTGTCCAAACTGGCAGATTCACTGGTGCCGTCTCGAGGTGCAGAGCTGTGCATCGAAGTACGCCTCAAGCCGTGCATGGGAACGCCAGGCAGGGGGAAGCAGGTCGCGTAGAGGAAGAGATTGAAGGTGATAGCCGACAACAGGGAAAAAACAAATTGTTGCGGAATCTTGTATTACAGAATATCACAGAGCCGACGCAAGTCGTGTGTGTTTTTTTTGGTTGTCGCCTGTGTCGTGTGTCTATTTTCTGTGCAACGGTCTCGAAAGAACGGCCCCTGGCACCCGAAAGACAGAAACCTCGGCCACCGCCTCAAGTCGATGTGTGCAGAGCGCCATCGGGCAGCAAAAAGCTGACCAGGCTTCAGGCTGTTTGGGTTGAGGGTTTTCGCAAATGTACGCCGGAGAAAACGATAGATCCCCTGCATAGCCTGTAGATCCGGCAAAGAAAAATCTTGGAACAAGCACATGTCCAAGCCTAGCCATGCCCAACCTTCCCTAACCCACAACCCACTCTGAAAAGGTGTTTTGTTGGTCCTTTTTTTTTTTGGGGGGGGGGGAAGGAGGAGGGTCCTTTGCTTCGTCCTGCCCTTCTTCTTTCTGCTTCTGCGATTTTCCACCCTTCTGGTCTCATCCTGCTCAGTTTTTCTGCTGTGAAGAGAAATTACACAGATATGATATATATATATATATATGTATGTATATATATATATATATAAGAGTTAAGCTGCGTAATTAGTATATGTAATACGAATTATAGAATGCGTTATGCAGACCATGATATCATCTACTAGATATTTATGCCACCTGGAAGTGCATGGGAGGGACCCTGAAGCCAATCCAAGCCCTATCTGGCCATGTCTGCGTATATATCTATATGTATGTATGTATGTATGTATGTATGTATGTATGTATGTATATATATATATATATATATCTCTCTCTCTCTCTCTCTCTTTCTGTATCTACCTCTATGCTTATATGTATATGTTTAAACATGCATACATACGCACACACACACACAAACGTGATGAACACTTACTTGTGCATATACATGTACACATGCCTGTGTTTGTTCCTGTGCACACGACGATGCATGCATAGGGGAAGCCGGGCAAGCCGCCCAACTCCCCCACGCCCGCTGAAGCCAAGTCAAGCCGCATGAGTCTCAACAATTAATATGTGTATATGTAATATATATAGAGAGAGAGGGAGAGAGATGTCCCTCACCCCTAGCCCTGATGAAAGAAAGAGATGTACGGATGTACATCTGTATTGTATTTATGTATACGTATTTACTTTTGCATATACTTACGTGTATACATATAGCATCGAGTTCTATAGTATCTTCAGGACCCATAGTTGCTACAGCATCCATAGTATGTACAGTAGTCCTAGTGTCGGTAGTATCTACTGTGCCTCTAGTGTCTGTAGTAACGGTAGTATCTATAGTATTTGCAGTGTCTACAGTGTAGTACCAACAGAACCTATAGTCTCGATAGTATCTATAGTGTCCATGGTCTTGCTTCGCATGTATGTATCTACAGTGTCTGTACCATCTTTAGTATTGGTAGTTTCTGTAGCATCCATAAAGCTTTGAAGTTTATAATAAGTAGAGTACATGTATGTACATGTACATATGACATAATCGACTAGAAGATAATATAATATAGTATATTACAATATGATTTAATATGTTCTAAGATATATAATACAATATAATTTAACCTGATCTAATCTAATATAAAATACATAGTAAACCTTACATGATATAACATAACATCACATAATAGCGTCATTGCGAGCAGGATGCACAGGGCTGCTGAAGAAAGATGCTCAGCTCACCCAAGCCCTAAACTCCTTAAGCTCCCGCCGTCCCACCTTCATGCCTCAATCCCTCGAAGTTAAGCCCCCACGCCGACCTCAACCCTAAACCTAAACCTGACTCAAGTCCGAACCTTGTAAAAAAATACAAAAACTTTAAACGGCCAATTTGTAATATAGATATATATATATATATCTGTTGCCAAGTGGGTGCCCAAAAATACTTGAAACAATCAAACCCCGAAACCGCCCAAACAAAATCGGTCTTTCTTGCGCCTTGGTGTACCGCCGTTATGTTACTGTAGCAAGTGTGGTGAGTTAACCTGGGGCCATGCCTGTGCCTGCCTGTGCGAGTGTGCGCGTCGAAACCTTCCCGAACCCTAAACTCCAGCCTACTCAGTAGGGATGAGGAAGCGCATAGGCCTGGAGCTCAAGCTGATTTTGCTGCCACAAAACCCTTCTCGCTTAAACCCTGAACCTTCAAGCCTTTACAAGGACAGAATTCTTTCGCTCCGCCAGAGAAGACAAAAGACACCAACAAAAGCGTAAGACAGCCCGACCCAAGCTTCAGGAGCTCGTGCAATGCACTATTGCAACGCCTGTTTGCCACAAGGGCTCCGAGCTGGCCTCAGGCGCAATTTGACAAGTGTAGGCTCAAGAGCATGCCGTATCGAAGGCATCACGCTGACACATGCATGCATCTAAGGTCCGGGAGCTTCGGCTGCATGAAATGTTGTGCACGGCATTATTTGCAGCAAGGCGATTCAGGTGTGTCGACGCAACAAAGGCATTCCTGCTCTACTTCCTGTCCGGGCTTCGCAATGGATTTACTGAAATTGGTTTCCGCAATTTGGCAGAGCTCCACGATGGCCTCGAAAAGGAGATTCTCCGAATGGCGCCTTACCTCAAAGAATCTGGCAGCGTGGTGATGCAAAGCAGTGCCTTCAAACCCTGTTTTAGACTTACTCGTGGAGTCAGCGCAAACAACGACGATTCAAACCAGAAATGCAAAGTTGAACATCAACACGAAATCCGCTCATCATCCAGAAACTAAGATCGCCCAACCACCCCTTGACATTCGTATTCCTTCTGATGTCTCTTGCATTCCAGACGACCTGCACTTTGTGGGGCCAGAATGCAGCTCCGGCTTGGGCCAGCAGGGCGAAGTAAGCACAGGCGACGTTCCATTCAACACGAATCCAGACCCGAGGTGGATTTCTCTTCAAAGGTATGCTTACCCGGAAGGGGGTGCTAGTGACTGCTAGTGTCAATTGGAACAGGTTGCAAATCACTGGCAGGAGCTTCCAACGAACACATGACACATCTTCCACCGATGCTTAAACCGAAGCAGCGCCACAAATCCTCCTTTCTCCGGACATAAAGAGTCGTGGTCATCTTCTTGGTTGTAGTACAGATCGCGCTGGTTGCTATTAGAGCGGAGGTTCTTCCCTTTCCTGAGACAGTCGTTTCTTGTCTGCGATTGCTTGTGAGTCTGTTATTGACTTGCCGAAGCTGCTTCTGCCTGCCCATGTCTGCAATGCGGAATTGCAGACACGCCGAATAACGAACTGTCCCATGAACATCGTGCAGCAATTCGGACACGAATTTCATCGTGTCTCTGCGTGGGCGTGTGAGATTGATGCCCTGTGCCACTTGTCCTGAAAGCATCGGCTTGACACGCACCCAGTCCTTGAACATGTGCGCTGCAAGAAATATTGTCATGGCTCAGCCTTCATACGGCCGTGAGTGGCCTCCCCATGCTGGTGCCGCTAGTGACCCAATCTGGTCACGCGCCTACTTTGCAAAGGCCAAGCACCTCTCCATTGCTTGAAGAGTCCTTGCTGCCTGTCCAATCAGCTTCCCCTATCACCTGACCGGCCGGCACCTGCAATATTTCGGAACAGGTCGCATTTAGTTAACTGGGGCCTGCAGCCTGAGGTCCCGCACATAACCATCAGATTCGTTGGTCGAAGCCCGGGCGTGAAACGGAGACAAACCCTAAAAACCCTTTAGAAAAGGTCCTAGAATATGTTTGATAGCGTGGCTGGGAGACACGATCAGTACTGTGACGACTTCACCTCAAGTTTGGCACTGGCACCTCTAAGACTCTACGAATGGCGCATAACCTTGCCACCGGCCACCCATCAGGGTGGCTAACATGTCACAAAGTTCGGAAAGGAATGTTGCTGCTACCGTGCGTGTCTAGCATTTGATGGTGCCCGCGAACGTGGATGCAGTTGTTTGTACCCGGGCGAGTTCTCAGCTTTCCGTTAATTCTTGCTGGTTTGTTTTGGTGCCCCTTGATATTTCTGTTGTAGTCTACAGCTTTAGGCGCATATCACCGATTCCAAAAGACAGGGTGTCATGGCCATGTGGCTCACGCAAGGAATGCAGGCTCCCGTACAGTCTGCAGCTGCAAGAAGCGTGCGGCCGAGCTGCAACTTGGCTTCTGTGGCCATACTTGGCATTGCAACCTGTGGGCTGGTTCGGACAAGCAGAAACAGAGAGCGCACAGCTCCAAACAGATGGCAGGTGAAGCAGAGCCAACATCCTGAAGTGCTGCCGGTATCGGTGTTAACGTCTTGGGGGTAGATAAATCTCCCAAAGATGTCTCTGGGAGGGTTTGACCCATGCCGCAGCAGATGCCTTTGGCACATACAGCTGCGAACTGCCGCGACCCGCGCTTCGACGTTTCACCTCAATCTTCGGATGCAGGACTTCAACGACTTGCCTGAAAAAGAAGCCTTTCTGCAAGCCTGCGGTCGGCAGCGTGCGTTCCGCTGTGGAAGACGGAAAGTCTAGTAGACGTAGTAGCAGTCGCAGTCGTAGTCGTAATAATAAGAAGAAGAAGAATAAGCAAGGAGTATAAGCAGCAGTGGCAATAGTAATATGCGTGAGGGCTTGGTACTGATTTAAACCACCTTGTAGATGTTGTGTACAGGTCGCTTTTTCGCAATTGTTTGGGGGCTTGCGAGTCGGGCACAGGGAGAGGGTGATTCGCTCTTCGAGTTTTGGTGTTTACATCACCATCACCTGGAATGCACAGACCCAGGTCCGCACTGGAACGAGCTGAACAGACCTGCACATTCTTTGTAAGAAACGCGCACCCCGGGGCTACTACTGTTGATGAAAATCCTGTGTTGCCTGTAATAAGGAATATCCCACTATTCCCATAGTTTAGGCTCCTTCAAGGAATGCAGGGTTTGTACCATCAACAGTATCTTGAGATGGCAAGGGAAGAACACGTCTGAATCATGTCGATGACACGTAGCATCCATATGACACGCGCAGCAGGATTTTGAGCTACATTCAAGCTAGCATGTGATTTGTGCAAAATCGTGCTACCTCATCTGACTGTGGTCTGTCTGTCTGTCTGTCTGTCTGTCTGTCTGTCTGTCTGTCTGTCTGTCTGTCTGTCTGTCTGTCTGTCTGTCTGTCTCTCTGTCTCTCTCTCTGTCTCTCTCTCTGTCTCTCTCTCTGTCTCTCTCTCTGTCTCTCTCTCTGTCTCTCTGTCTGTCTCTCTGTCTGTCTCTCTGTCTGTCTCTCTGTCTGTCTCTCT